GACAATTAGTATTATGCGACTGCTGGTTTCTCTCCTTTACACCTCATATTGTTATGCTGTCTACTTATTTGGAAGTTTGTTGCTAAATGTATTATACGTGTGCCGAACAGTATAGAGGGAAAATAGCATCAGACTAAGGAAATAAATGGGGAAAAATAGAAAATACTTTCGCTTGGTTTCAGAATAACAGGTTGGGACAAATCCAGCAAAAAGTAAAAAAAATAATCTAAACTATTGGCCATCTTCTCATTTTAATATAAACTATATATGCTTTTATTTAGAATTAACCAACCAACCAAAGTATAGGGGTAGTTTGCTCATACTAGTTTAAGCAAGTTAGTAACCTGCTAAATAAGTTAAATTAAATATGTGGATTTCACTTTTAATTTTTTTTTTATTGCATTTTCTCCTACTAACTCATCTAACCACCGAGATTGTAGTACCATTTTCATGCTTTTTTTTAAAGTTTGGAGTTTTCTCCATGGAACCATCATCAAAGAACAATTTCTCATGTATGACAATTCGTTTTCAAATTTTGTAAATTTTTATTTTAGCCTAATGTAAATTACATCTTTAATTTCAAATTCATGTCAATAAATAATTAAAATTGAAAAAAAAATGTGTTGGAAAGAGTAATAGTAATAATAACAATAACAAAATCTAGTGTTGAACCCTTTGGTAATAAAGATAGTATTATTGCATGGGTTGAATTAAATTTGCATGGCAAATTGGTATTATTTATAGCAGTGTATATGTCGGTTTACTTGCTCCACCGACTTACTACAATCTTCTAGCTTTCTCTAGATTTCTCTTTACTTTCTTACATAAATTAGAGTTTTCAAGATACTAGTCTATTCTAGAATTATCTAGTTAATTGTAGATATTACTTAGCTTTTTCTAAATTACATTTTTTTTTTACATTGTACTATACGATAAAATTCGTACGGAGCCTGAATTCCAATCTATTGGGTTAGCCGGAGTCCATACTTATCTTTTATTAAATCAGATTTAATCCTTATAAAACACTTATTCTATCCGACATAGAATTCTTTATCTTTTCAAAATAAATAATAATTATAATTATCAATCCTAATCCCTTTAGAATTCAAAACAACTATCCGGATAATTCTAAAAGATTGAGATAAATTCTAATGACTTTAGGAATACAATTATAATTAATGGACCCTCCACATGATCATTGGACCGTGCATAAAACCTGATTTGGGTCCAATTTAGTATTTAAGTCATAACTTTCTTGATATAACTCGGATTTGGTCTTATAATATATCGTTGGAAAGCTATTTTTAAGCCCTATCCAATTAAACACTTATTGGACCCATATCATGGACCAAAATAAACTGCATTTGACGTTTTTCATAAATAGGATACGAAATGAAAGATTTTCGAAATAATAAATGAATTATTTTTATTAAAACATATTAGAAAAACAGGAGAATTTATGACTCTTCAACATTTCGCCTCGCTCAATATTCAATTACGTAAAAAGTACTTATCACTGGGTTTGGTTTTTGGAGAAACACAATCAGGTGTCTACAATTTGGAATATTAAAAGAGAATTTTTATTATGGTTCATATAAATTTTTATTGATGCTATAAGCATGAGGAAAGAGTTACTTAAGTGTCTAAGGAATCGAGGATTAAATTACATTTTGGTGCCTAAGTGCACGTAAGGTGTTTCCAACATCGAGGGATATGATTTGTGGTGCATTATGCGTTTACGGTGTCTATGACACCGAGGTAGATTAAAAAAAAGTTCAAAATTAAAGATTATGTGGTCACTAATTTTACTTGGTTGCTTGAATGGTATTGATCATTGTTATTGCTTTGGTTTGTGAGTCATCACCAAGTCAAATACACATGTAAATAACGTAAAGTGAAAGAGGTTACGCACCAAAAATCTTGGAACGTATATACCTTGAGTCTGAAATATATGGCCGGGCAAGGCAGAAGAAAGAAAATAAGTCTTCGCCTGAAAGGCGCCCGATCGGGCGCGGACTCTTTCTCACCAAAAGGCGGGCCCAGCTGAGCAAAGTCTGCGTGTTTTTGAATGGGATTTTGATGTTTTTATAGCTTTTTTTAATTAGGATGGTTTAGCTTAAGTATAACTACGTAAGTTAGAAACAACTACCTCTTCTCATTAGTTAATTTCTCATATTTTAGTTTTAAGCTTTGGATTATTACTCTTGTTCTCTCTCTACACTTTTGGTTTATGCAATTCATTATTTCCGTTTACTTTGGCAACAATTTCTTTCCCTTTTATTTTCAATGATTTAATTGCTTTGATTAATCATGTCTTGTTTATTTGCTTTGCTTAGTTTAGATTTTAATATGTGTGATTCGATTTATTTCTAGGGTTGTGGGGATCCATAAATAATATGAAGGGGTGAATTATTATCGTTGATTTTCAATTCTTTGATTAATTTAATTCTATGCAATTAAATTAGGATAAAATAAATTAATTAAATACAAAATATTATCTTTTGATATTAGGAATTTTATCTAACATTTTAAAACTAATATAATAACAATTTTAATCACATAAATATGAAGATTTTTTTTTTTAAAAAAAATACTCATAAATATGAAGATATTTTTTTTTTTAAAAAAAAATACTAACAAACCGTGCATCGCGCATCGCACGGGCTTCATCTAGTTTCTAAATAATTGCAACACTTACTTTTAAATTATTTATAACTAGATGAAACCCGTGTGATGCGAGATATATAATTTTATAATATGTATATATATATATATATATACTAGTTTTGTACCCGTGCGATGCCCGGGTTGTTTATTGAATTTTAAGATAAATTTTTAATCTATATGTCAAATTTTAAAACATATCATTGATCAAAATTAGTTAGGAATTGATGTGTTTTTGTGATGATTTAAACTATATAGTAGGCATGTAATGACTAATAATAATAACATTGGGTGAAAAACATTTCTTGACCCGTAACCTGAAATAATGACCATATCCGAAATGACTCGTGACCCGACCCGATTGACAGGTCTACACACGGTAATAAAATTATATTAGATTGTAAAGTATATTGTTTTAATTGATTAGAATATATTATAATTAATGGATGTGGTGCATTTTGAGCTAATTCCTTTGATCCAAAAAAATACTATGATACAAAAAATAAATTTATATGATAATTTACGAGTGATATAATTTTTTTTAATAAAATTATAATTTAATTGTACATATGAAATATTGGTACTTTATCAAAAATAAAACTCTAAACTAACAATTTTATCCTAAAATTCTATCCAAATTTGATTGAAAATAGAATTCTAAATTAACTTTTTTTTTTAATCCTACAAATTGAATTCTATATAACTCTATCCTACGTAGCACGACACTTGGCGAAAAGTTGGAACCCCAAGTGTCGCTATCTCGTCGCATGGCTAAAAGTTTAGCTTTATATATATATATATATACATCGCACGGGTTTAATCTAGTTATATATAATTACCATCATTAATGGTCAATGTCGTGCATTGACTCTATCATAAAAAAATACTCGTACAACTTTGTATTAAGGAGTCTCCATTCTCCAACAATTAGCCTAATATACATACATTATTGTAATAATTTACATTATATTATTTTTATCTTTTTTTTGTTAAAAAAAAATAATAAAATAAAATAAAAATTTACAAGAACAACCTTGCCGTTAAATTCTATTGTTTATTCTCTAGCATCCTAGGTCATGATCCTCCACTTTGTCAAACCATTCGATCTGATTTCTAAACTTCCAAGTTGTATGCCAGTTTCTTTGACGGGTGGTCATAAATCTACGTTCTAGAATATCAACACATCGCTTATATTCGACCCAAACTCCCAAAGTCTTATAAGGTCTCAAACAAGCAAGTTGTTGAATTTATTCCTCAACTCAAACTTTGGTCCTTTGGAAACCTATCAACTAATTTCACTACTTTTGCTATTTTCAATAATGCATGTATTGTTTTATATATGGGACTAGCAGTCTAGCATTGAAGGCTATATGGTGATTTATGAAGCTCTACACTTCTACACTTTTTGAAATATGAGAGTAGAATCATTATTTTAAAATATGCTCCGTAATATCTTATTTTTTAAAAAAGGTGAATACAAATTTAGTGATTTACAAATTTCACTTATTGACATTATCTTAAAATATGAACTTATACTCTTAAAATGACATATGAACATAATTTTTTATTTATTTATTTATTTATTTTTGTATCGATTATTATAAATATTTAAAAAATTTATACTTGTAGAATTAATTTACTTGGATTTCACTTTCCTCAAAATTGAACTTATGTAAATTGTTAGACTTGAACTTATTTTATCAAAACTACTAGAGCCTTGCACCCTTTTTTTTTAACAACCAAATCATAGACAAACCCTGCACTTACTATAACTCCTTACTTATTTAGCCTTGAACTATTTGTGCTTATGTTATTGAATAAAAATATAAAATTTTATTGTATGTATAAATTGAAAATGGGTAGCCAACAAGCCAGTCTTTTACTAGTCCCATCCATGAAATTAAATCAATCAAAACTTATTTTGTTTATAATAATTAATAACTACATAATACATACTTCGTAGGTACAAACTAAAAAATTGGACATAATCTCGATAAGAGTACGTATTTTATATGATCAATAATAAATCAATCTTGGTAACTTATACAAAGTAGTGAGGTACTAGTTAAATATTTTTTGACTTCTAAACAAAAGAAAAAGCCCGCAAACCACAAAATACCACCACCAGAATTCCTCAAAGGTAAACCAATATAATTAATATATACTTGTAGCTGTTTTCATAAGCCATCTTTCAACATACTTTCAAGACCTACCTGTATTTTATAAACCACAAAAGCAAAATGTGGGCTCTAAATTTAATACCGTTTCTTAATTAATATAAAGGTTACATTTTGTTATAATTCTTTCATGCAAATGATGCAATCTTTATGCTTTCTACGTCTTTTGACACCATAAAAATAAATAAAATTCGATTCTTCAACATTAGAATAATAAACGGCCCTTCTGTTTTGAAAAGTTACCTCTTCCAGAAAAACCATTTACTTTTATCTTCCAACGACATATCGTTCTACATACAAAGAGTATATTCCATTTTCCAAAACCATATTATATAAACTCAATTCATCAATATAATTTGTCACAACACCATACATAAAAATAAACCATAGTATTTTAACCATTCACTAAATTAACATTTGGAATGGGTAGTGATGATGTCGTCGTAGTTGCGGATGGCCGAGATGGCGAGGCGAGGAAGATAGTGGTGGCCGTGGATGAGAGTGAGGAGAGCATGTACGCTTTGTCATGGTGCCTTAACAACATCGTTCAAGGACAACCGCGAAATTGTAAAGATGCCCTTGTACTCCTACATGCCAAGCGGCCTACTGTTGTGTACCCTGGCTTGGATAGCTCAGGTATTATCTCATCATCAGATCATCGTCTCAAAATATATATTATAGAATATAGGTCATCTATATATATTCAGTTAATCTTGATGATCGCCTGTGCTAGTAAATTTAAATATTTAATTTACGGTTTATTTTTTTTTGGTGAAGTTAATTTATGGTTTATAACTCTATTGAAAATCTATAACTTTGACTCTATTGATATGCCTAATTGGGTGGGCATCATGCCATTATGATGAAAGGTCTCTAGCTATAAAATCCTATTTTGTTTGGTACAAAGTTAAAGACCAGTCCTCTGATAATATAAAGAAATTGTGGAGTAATAATTTTGTTAAAAGCTTCTTTTTTAGCACTTATTTTTGTACTTGTATTATACTTCGTATATATTATTGTTGAATTCTACAAATGTGAAATATGTGAAGTATATATTTTCTTTTAATTGTTTACTGTTGAATACCCAGCATATTTGAGCTCTCATGATGCTTTATCATCACTAGATAGACGGGACAACGAAATGGCATGTTGGATCCTTCAGAAGGCCGATAAGCTTTGTGCGGAGCATGATGTGAGTGATTTGGCCTTCCTACTTCAATTCACTCTCTAGCGTTCAATCTTCTAGTATTATTACTTTAGCGAAACTTGATTTGCAATAATATTCACCATACTCGTGTAGTCGTGTTTATAGTTGTGTTAGTCATCGCAAACATTTTTGTTATAAACACTAGTTTAGGGTCTGCTGTTCTCATTCGTTTATTTTCAGTTCAGTTCAGTTCAATTCAATTCCTAATTTCCTTCTCTTATAAAATATTCAGTCAGTTCAGCTAATTTCAGTCTATTAGAACAGACCCTTAGTTTTAATTTTCTTATGCAAAAAAATTATTCTTTTTCCTAGGTGAAAGTCGAGAAAAAAGTAGAAGAAGGGGATCCAGGGGATGTGATATGTGAGATGGTGAATGTTTTGAAGGCGGACTTGCTTATCATGGGAAGCCATGGGTATAGTCAACTGACCAGGTATACAATAAAAACGTCGTTTTGCAAACTTAATATCTTCAATTTTATTTCTGACCTTTTTCTTACACAAAAAAACGTTGTGATGCCAACTTTTTTTTTTTTTAAACCCAAAAAAAAAAAAAAAAAAAGAAAAGAAAAAAGTTGGCATCAAACGTTTAAATGCCAACTTATTAACTTCTATTTTGGAAATTTTGTTCATTTTATAGTAGCTTGTTCATTTAAATGCTTCATTTATTGTGTAATGGGTATACAAATGAATGACAGGTCGATATTGAGGAGTGTGAGCCATCACTGCGTCCAAAATGCGAGCTGCCCTGTTTTAGTTGTTAAGATGCCAAAATAAAATGCCCTCGTCTTGGCTATGCGACCAAAAGAGAATACGTACCATTAATTTCATCTATATATGTTGCAATTGTCAATGCTAAGATCGATGTTAACCGTAACAAACACCCCCTCCCCCGATAGTAAAAAAACTAGTCAAGGACTTCAATTGCGCCCGCGCATCTATTATACAGTTGTACAAGTATGCTCTTCAATTTTTTCTTCAAGTGAGCTATACGTCATACTATTTTTGTATAATCTTCTTCTTATGCCCAAAGATTGAGCCAAATTATGAAATTGTTATACTAGTCCATGCCATTTGTCAAGGAAATCATGCTGCTGCTAGCCTGCTACTGCTGCTGCTAATAATAATAACAGTCCCGTTGATTGTTATTACAAGGGATAATAAGAGCACAAAATTACTTCCTGAAGTGCTAAATCAAATCTTGTAAATCAGACTGCTGCAATTTTATTTCTACTACGTAAAAGAAAAACAAGAAACATCAAAAGATCTTTTCACAGGGATAACACCTACCCTCAACGGAATTACTAGCTGATAATAGGACCTTCTTGAGCTAAACATAATGAGGTATTGCTAGGGACGTAAAAGAGATATGAAAAGAATTATACCAGTAAAAGAGAGATGAAACGAATTAGACATAACTCAGCTCATTTACCATTCCAGAATCTCTATATAATTTTTAATATATTACGAAAAACTGGAAATTTTTTTGGCCTTCAGCTATTATCCACCAAATACAGCCTAATTGAGATAAACCAATCTGTCATATAGGCCTTTAACTTGGTGTCATTTGAATCTACTACCAAAAACCTACGCTAAAAGTTGACATTTGACAAGAGAAAAATGCCAGCGAACAATGAGCCTGAATTAAAAAATTTAAGATCCTCGTCTAAAGACTTCATATTGCTCTGCTCCTCAAAGTTCATCCTGTAAAACACACAACAAAAATGACCGATATTAAGAAATAAAGCATAATGTCAGCACCGTAGTGCAATATACAGAGGAAATTTATCAAAGGACATACATGCTTGTCTTCATCCTTGTCATCTGACTTGTCAGCATCGGCATCAGAGTCGTCAGCATCAGCTTCGTCTTCATCCTCGGCCTGGAGAAACCATGAAAAAATAAGGGGCTTGCACACTAACATATTTCTCAAGAAAGAATTGAAAAGTATACTCAGACTAGAGATTTAATTTTAATACTTACATCAGAATCAACAGGGCTGTCCTTGGTTTCCTGCTTGGAGTATCAAAATTGAGTCAGTATACATATATAATTCATGTGATAATGAAAAGAATAATCATCGCACCACCATGACAACCATACAGGAAAACAATCCACAACATCAAGCCAAACACAGGCCAGTGGCATTGAGGCATCCTGATTTCTAACCAATCATGAATTCACAAATTAATTTGAAAAGATTCAATAGCATTATTAGTGACATGAGGTTTTAAAGACCTGAGACAATATGTTGGTTTTTCATTGACAGTGTAACTAAATTGGACAATAAACTAATAATCAACTGCATCCTGATTTCTAACCAATCATGAATTTCACAAATTAATTTGAAAAGATTCAATAGCATTATTAGTGACATGAGGTTTTAAAGACCTGAGACAATATGTTGGTTTTTCATTGACAGTGTAACTAAATTGGACAATAAACTAATAATCAACTGCATGTTCCCTTCTACTTTATTACTGGTTACGATTCTTACGAACATGTAATGGTGTTCAGAAGAGACACGAAAGAGATGTCACAAGGATATAGACTAAGAAGCTTCAACCACAATACACATTAAAAAAAAAAAACAAAAATATTTGAAATAAAACAATAAAAAAAATACAATACTCATACCTCTTCTTCTCTCTTCTTCTCAGCCTCCTCAAAAGCAGCCTTCTCAGCCTGCAAAGATATGCAAAACATGTCAGATAACTCAAATACAAAGACTAAAGTACTGAAATTAATCGCTTCCTAACTTGAGAAGCAGGCCAACTTACATCCTTTTGCTTGCCCCAGGTCTCTTCAGCCAACTGTTTTGCATACTCAGGGTCATCAGAGACCAAGACATTGTCAAAGAGTGTGCCAGATTTAACCTGAAAAATATCACTCACTTCATGAATATGCTTATTATAATAGCATCGAGCAAGTATCACATTCAACACTGGAAAAGAACTAAAGTTACCTGCCACAACTCAACACCAACATATCTGAGGTTGGGGTAAACATAGAGTTCTGGGTCATCCTTGAATTCTGAAACATGGAAGTAACTTGATCAGATTTCTACTTCAATTCACATGATTCTGGCCACCAAAAAAAGCAAGGGGTGATGACGACATAGAAGTGAGAACAAGGTGCAAACCTGGGTTGTCAATCAAAGGTGCCTTCCACTTGCCTTTGTAGTTGGGGTTCTTGATTTTCTGCAATCAACATATATAACTTGTTAACTATAAGCAATGCCAATCATTAATTACAGAAAGATTTGACAGTTAAGAGAAGGAACAAACCTTTGCCTTCCATGGACCCTTGTACTCAGGGTTTGGAATGGTTGGGGTAGTCCACTCACCATCTTCCTCATCATCCCAGTCCTCTGGCTGAAAATCATATGACATCTCAGCATATCCAATTGCAAAGTCTCACTTTTTACATTTTACAGTGATTTAAACACACATTACCTTCTTAGCATCAGCATCGGGAATTTCTTTTGGGATGTCATCATAACCCTAAAAAAACCAAGGGACTTGATAAGTTCATCATTTCAACATGAAAATAAATTTCGGCAATCTCATTATCATCCAGTATCAAATGGGAGGAAGGAGGAACAGAAAATTAATATAAATACCTCTGGTTTCTTGTCTTCAGGGTCAGGAATGTACTCCTTGTCATCCCAGTCCTCCGGCTAAAATCACACAATATCAGATTAATTAGTATAAATTGTAGGCCATCCAAATGGAACTGGAAGATCAAATTACGATTTTTCTCAGAAAGTAAATACCTTTTTAGCCTCAGGGTCCTTGATCTTCTTAGGAGGAAGTAGATCCCAGTCATCGTAAAGACTACCAGTTTGTTTCTCCTGGTTGTCGATAAGAATGCTGTATGTAGCATCTGGGCGGAGAATGAAGGTGTAAACATGAGTCAGCTGGTCAGTCTCACAAGGGACATCTTTCTTGATCAAGTGATTTGTTTCATTGCGGTTAAGAATGGCATGTACTTTCTTAGTGCTGTAGCCACAGATATCAGGACCAAACATAATGCTGCAACAACAACAACAACAAATATTACATTTCAAATCAGTAAAATTTAACACTTAAAAACAAAAGCAACAATGCAAAAGCACAGTCCTTTAGCAATGGAACAAAAATAGATACCTGTATGGGGTATCCCCACCGAATTTCTTCTGGTCAACTTCACCACTGAGTAGCTTCATGTAACCACCTCCACAATCAAGCTTCTGTTCATGCTTAACAGAAAATTGGAAGACTAGGGTTTTATCCTTGTTGCTGAATTCTGGGAATTCAGCAGAGATAGCGTAAAATCTGTAGTCCTCGCTAGTTTGGATACCTGTAACACATGGGTAAAAGAAGTTATAACTTAAGTAGCAAAACAAGAAGCCAAATGCTCGGATATACTGGAGAATATATCATCAAAGAATACCTTTGTCATTTGCATCTCCATTCCATTTGCCGGATGTATAATTCCATTCTCCAGCCATGCTTTCGTCCTTCTTCCAGTCAGATTTGACCCAACGACTCTCCCATCCATCTAGATTAGCCAAAAGAAATGAAATTAATACAAGAGAAAAACTCAAGATACAAAGTTCTCAACAACTCAATGCCTTTAGAATATCATATCCATGCTTGTAACTAAACTTTCACGTCTTTATAAGGGATCAAGGGAGATCACAATCCAGTGTATGGTGATTTTGTGAGAAATTTGGTGATCACATGGTCATAGCTAAGCTAACAACCTTATAGTACTAAATAAAAGTGTCACACAAAGTATGCAGGGAAAATCAAACTTCCATTATCAATCTTCTAAGACCTGATTCACCTTGAAAATGTACTCTGACTTTTAATTCAACCTCAACATCCTCAAGTACTCATCTCGGATCCTCAACACAGTCTTATATGAGTACGGAGTGCCAACATTTAAGTAGGTCTGAGCAATCGGCATCAAGCCAAAACAGTCATTTTAATTGAAACACTTAAAATAAACCTTAAGATACAAAGGCAGTGCATCGGTTGTCCATACATACACCATAACACCGATACCGGATACACCATACACCAATTCTGTGTCATTTCTCATAAATATGCCTAGTTCATGTAGACACTTCACTCTAAACAGACAAAGACAACTCAGTGACACTCTGATTCAACAATTATAATTCGTTGACTAATTTACAATTCACTTAAGTCATTTTCATTCATTTAGAAATTCAGAAATTACATAATCAGCTGCAAAATACAATAGATAGATCACATTCTGCACGGATCTAAAAAAATTCGAACAATCAAACAAAATCAGATCCATACACAATCATTTCAAAAAACACATCAATCTTATCAAATTAAGAATCACATCAACAATAATTAAAATAGCGTATGATACATACAAAATCAAGCCAAATTAGACACTAAAGCAGGCGTCATTTCATCAAATCAATCAACAAAATTCATGATCCGAATCAAAATTCAGCTAAATTCTAATCATTCAATCAATCAATCCAATCAGAAATCATGTAACAAACAACAAATTACAAATTTCAATATAAAAAAATCAAATCCAGAATCCAAATTAACAAATTGATACAACAGATAAAATGCAAGGAAGAGCGTATACCGTCGAAGCGTTCTTCAAAGAAGACTTTAGCAGAAGCAATGGCGAAGAGAGAGAGTACGACGAGGAGAGAGAAAGCGATAGGGTTGCGACGCCGAATCTCCATTGTAGCTAACTCTGAGGAGAGTGTGAAACGAGGAGAGAGAAAACTGAGGAAGGTGAGAAATGTAGAAATGACCATGAAATCAAGCCTAATTATATATAGGGGAAGTTTAGACTTTTTCTAACGAGTTTTTAATTTACACTTGGTTAGTCCTAAGTGGAAATTATTTTATGACGTGGTCCAATGACTATTTGACACGTTGGATACCAGTGTCATTGGGTTGACGTGTCGGATTCTTATTGGGAATTTACACGAGCTGGTTTGAGTGTGAAAGTATGTTAATGCCCTTGGTTTTTGGTGTTATTTACTGAAAGTGCCATTCGGTTGGCTTTTTGGGTTTTTTACTTCTGTTTTTGGGGTTTATTAAGAATAGTCACGTGAGATGCGCATGTGCACATTTATTGGTTTGGGATATTAAAGGAATGTACTTTTTTTTTTTTTTTTTTTTTTTTTTTTTTTTTTTTTGTGGAAATAAAGGATTGTATATTAATGTGGTGTTAATGAAAACTTAATGCAAAAAGTTTATGTGGGGCATACACAAATATAGTTTGGAAATTCAAATAGGTTGGTTTAAAGTAGATTAATACGGAGTATCATTATGCCTAAAATTTTACTTCAATTTGGTTTGGATTAGCTTAATTACAACGATAAATCATTCATCTTATCCCTGAAACAAACCATAAATAAGTAAAACGACCATAGATGAGGCAATGTCGTTTAAAAGGGGGTTGGGTAGGCCATGGTCTATTAATTTGATTATTACTCAAAAGTTATGTCTATAAGTTACGGCAAAATTGATATGGAATCATTTTGTGATCTAAAATCATACTTTTATATGATAGACATTCATGTCATTCGAATTATAAACATTAAAGTTTCGGTCAGATTAATGTCTTACGATGGTAATATATTAGTTTAACGAGTTAGATATAAGCATGAAATACATTCATTTGGATTGCTTAAAATAAAATTCTAGTTCCATGTTCCACTACTACCACGAGACATTAATCATAACAATAATATAACACCCTCTCCACCTAGTAAGGCCAGTGTATTCCGAGATCCTAAACAATATCCTAATTGTAAAGTGGACCAAGTGGTGTCTTTTTGAAGAAAAAAACAATCCTATTTTAGCAACTATCACCTCAACGTGACCTCATAAAATAATATGAAATTTTTTTGGGGTATTGATAGTTTGAATGTATGCTGAGTGAAATAAGAACATGCCCCAATCCTTACGTAAGTGAACTAGACCATTTCTGGATACTTAACTTTGAAGCCAAATAAAAGTACATTTTCATTAAAAAGTGACAATGATCTTATTGACAATAATTATTGCTTATTACTTTCTCTTTTTTCTTAAAATTTACATAATTTTTTAAATTCAAAACTTCTATCTAAAGTATCCATAAAACTATTATTATATATCTGCACTTTGGATGCAACTACTCTTTTAAAAATAAGATTAGTTTTCCTAGAGTAGTTTACCAATATTGGGTTCACAAAATGTAAGAAATCACATGGGATAAGCTTAAAAAACCAATTGAAGATGAGAATGATCTACATTTGCATTTTATGTGTTTTCTATTAGTGCATGTTACCTACTCTGACTTGGTAGCTAGTTTCTGTTAGAGGACAAATCGTGCAACGCCGAGGATGAACAATGGAATGACGGCCCTAGCTAATTTGATGGTTGAACGAGATGGTCATGGCCCTACGTTAGCCTAGATTAGCTTCAACTTCCTTATTGATCAATATGATGGCCAATGGTGCACAACTGCAATGAAATTGGCAACTTGATTAGCTTCTCGGTTTACGTGCTGACAATGTTGCCAAATAGCTGACTTTCATAAACCTTTGGTTGCACCCTGTTGCAGGATAATTACGTATTCTGCAGGATAGCAAATCAGCAATATTATATGCGGACTGCAAAGAATAGAGCAAACACCATAGATTCCACTGACATGAATCTGAGGACATTGCAGGGCCGGAGAGGTCCTTAAGAGGGAAGTCACTTGTAGTTAGTGTTGCACTGTTGCCAACAACAACCGCCTTGGGTGAATTTGACCCTTGTGGTCCCAGCATTTAGCCATTTAGGCATGATCCATAGAACAAGCCTGGTATCAGATGTATGTTTTCTAGATTTACTATATAATTGTGATTTATGAAAAAGAATTTCCAAATTTGTATGGGGCATCACTATAACTATAATTTGGTGTGCCTTACCTTTCCGATGACAGCAATTGTGTTGCCAGCAGCATCAAGAGCATACTCATAAGTCATGACTTCTAGCTAGTGCCCGTGCCCACCAACCCACCTTCCCCCAGCATTATCACCTATGGAAGAAACTTGGACCACAAGCATCAATAGCAGTTCCAATTAGTATTGGAGCAGGGAATGCCCCCAAAAAAAACATTGTATTTCGCTTACACACCAGCCAGAGTGCCAGACTGAAGCTAACATTAATAGTTCCTGCAATAACATACATGGATGTTGTGAGAGCCTGTAACAGAAATACAAAATTATAACAAGAAGCACTACAAAAAATGACATTCATATTGCTCTGTTCTGCATACATCAGCCACATCCTGCACTTGGCTGCAAATTAACAAAGAATAAGTAGTTTATGGCTTAGGGAGACAGCTCTCTTGTTTGTTTATTCAATGTATGCTTACAAAACCACTAATGAATACACTTACTAAAAAATCCTAACATCAAATTACTACGAAAACAACAAAAGAACGATTAGTTTTCGAGTTACGTTAGCTTATGTATGTCAAATGACCGCCCAAACACAAAGACTTGTCCTTCCATTCACCACCTGCTTTCAGCAGCAGACAGTATAAAAGATTATTTTCAAACAGTATGATTCCAAGTCCAGATAAAAATTAGAAAGAAAAAAAAAACATGTAAGATGGAATGCAAGAGGTATAACAGCAAACTTGCAATAAATTGATACCAACTGTATATTTTTGTCAAATAACCCTCATATGGTGATAAGGGTAATACATTAATGTGTTGAAATTGATTTTTCAAAATTCAGAATCAATTTCATACATATTAAGATTGACAATACATCATGCTTCAAAAGAGCACATGTAGCTATAATCTCTACAATAACAAGAGTTCTGTCATTCAAAGTGAAAAATGTAAGGATAACAAAAGCATACCCCTTCCAACACCCTGGCTTTTACCATCCTCTTCTACTCATCTCTGCAAGAAAAAGAACCAAGGTCTAAAGGTTGGCATTTTGCAAAGGAAAGCCTTAAATCTTCAAATGGAGAAGCTTCTACAGTTCTACCAGCAAAAACCACACATGAGAACAGCCCAGGAAAAGACAGGAAATATGGATGTATCAATTGTTGCAATAAATGGGCTGAAAGTAAGAGGCAACAGTCCTAATGTCCACTTTTGACTAGTTGCAAGATGTTTGCTATGAGCTACAATTGCCAATTTGTTTGCACTATTCTCAGACTGGTATTCTGTGTAAGAAATTCTCTGCATCCAGTACTCCCACAAAGTTGCTTCATTAAGAGGCCCAAACATACTTTGAGACATTTTTAAGAGCAATCAGAATTCAGAACGAATGAACGATGCCCCAGCCCATTGAGTCAATGCACTCAATTGGAACACGGAAACAAGGGTAGCTCACCAAATCAAGAGAATCTCAATAGCTCAAGTTGCATACATTGATACAAAGGCTTTTTCAGTCCATAATAAATAAGGGAAATTATTAGAAATGTGATTCCCATTCTAAAATGCACATTCCCAATCTAAACATCTCACGTCGACAGCAGACTGTCATTTGCATTACCAACCATGCTACTGATCAATGAAACTATCTCTTGGCATACAAATTGGCATGTGACTTGGTTCATCCTTACGTGTGATCTTCATGATTGCATGCTTGGGTTGCCCACAAAGGCAATGGTGCCTGAAATTTTACTGGAAGACCAGTAATAGGGTGTTCTAATGACAAACTCTCTGCATGAAGATTATGGACATCACAAATTTCCCCTTTCCACTTACAGACACCTTCATATTTTACATCTCCTATTATTGACAGTCCAAGGTACTGACAGTGCAACCTGATCTGATGTGTCCTTCCACTCTTTGGAAAAGCACGGACCAATATCTCATCCCTTCCGTGGTTAGCATCTGTTGATGATTTCTCCTCAACAACCACAACTTTTTCTAGATTTTCTGCACATTGGAATGACTCTTTAAAATGGACTACCCTATTTACTGATAATAACTCAAAAAGTGTCTCCATGTCCTTCACCACAGATCCACCAGGTAGTTTCCGACCAACATCTGACGCAGCATATACACGCCAAGCACCAAATTTAGATCTACCATGGCCAGATTTTAACCTGATTCTATCCCAATTTGGTGCAGACCCAACACAAAGAGCCATATAAGTTTTCTGAACCTTGTGATCAGTAAATGCCTTGACAAGCTTGGCAGCTACTTTGTGTAACTTGGTTATAACCATTACACCACTTGTATCACGATCCAACCTGTTAGCAAGATGTAACTCTGAAGCTTCAACTGAATCTGAAACAACCCGATGCAATTGCACAAAAGTTGAAATGATAACTGTTGGAACAACAAGTGTGTAGTGTGTGAATTTTGTGAAAAAACTCAAAGTCCCACATTGGTGGGAAATGAGAGTTTTACTCTCTTTATAATATAGAGAGTGGGCTAAAGGGGTGTGGCCCTTGGGCTACCCACATTTTGTGGAGAGGGAGGACCTATATGGTAAACCATATATCACACACACGCGCGCCGAACCGAACCGAGCCGGGCTGGGCTGGGTCGGGTTTGGGTTTGGGTTATTAAACAAACTTAATTTTTGTTACCGATTTGATTAATATTCAGTTACAAAACGTTTTACTGTTTTGGTTTAAATTTTTCCGTTACATTGCTTGATTCTCGTTGCTGTTTTACTGCTAAACGTTGCACCGTTACACTGATTTAATGCCTTGATTCTTGCTTAACGAATACACTAATTGCAGTAAACGTTGCTAATCTTTCTCCCGTTTTCATGCTTAAGCTGTTACGTATCTTTACCTATAAAAGGACGGTTCCAGCTTTGTTTTTAAAAACACGAAAAAAAATACAGAAAACCACTTTGCAAAATATATTTTCTCTTCCTCTCAAAACAGTCGAGCAGTTTCTTTCTGATTTTCTGGTGTTCCATTGTCCGGTGGTTCGGTGCAAAACCGCCGGTATTTTATACTTGTGAAAGACTGTTTTATCCTGGGGGCATCCGGTTTGGTACGAGCTGCTTGCACAAGTTTGAGGCAGTGCCGCGAATGTTCTAAAGAGAGCGACATAGTCCGCGACTCAGTCTTATTCTCGGTAACATTGTTCTTACTATTTTATTTGTGCAATTCCGTTTATAACAATAACGTTCAAAGCCTCAAAAGATTTACAATTTGGTTACATTTGTCATTGTCAATTTTACAAATTTTATTGCATCTGTCTGATTATATAAGCCCAGCTGCTCACTTGCAACGGCAAGCATCAGTATTTTACAGAATTCAAACTACACAAGCAACAATCTTCAGCAACAATTTTCCAATTACCAACAGTTCTTAGAATAGCTTATCTTGCAAAACTCAAAAGAGTCACAACAATTCTTACTTATTATGGAGTACTAATGAACTATATATTAGAAGTTGACATCTCTAAAATCTAGGTCCAAACTACCTAAGCAAGCATGTTATTCCTATTTCCTCACTTTAATAGCCTAATAGATTCACTTAAAATTTTGTAAACAATTCTTTCTTTGCTACATGCTACTTACATTAAAATCAAAATAAATAAAACTTCCAAGTTTCATGCCCATTTTCTTAGATTCATTCCATCACCAAACAAGTTGTATTCAATCAAACATTTCATAAATCTATCATTCTCTAACATAATAAAATGCAAATTAAATCTAATTCAAACAGTTTCAGTATATTCAATAACAATCTCATGAATTTCATAAAAAAAGAATTCAAATTTGCCACGTTAAATAAACTAATTCAAAGTAAAGATCAACGAACCAGAAGATTGTTGAAGAAGACGAGGGACAGAAGACAGGACAGTCTCACAGTAAATCCCAGAGGGTTTATTAACAACAAGCAACCATTGATCCTCGAAGATGACGTCATCTCTGGAGAGAGAGAAATTGGTGGCCTTTGAAGAAGCAGCCATTGCTCTGCTAAGCTCAATTTCCTTAGAAATTAGAGGTAATGGTGGGGATAATGGAGTTGGGTAAGAGGAAATTGATGGATTTTTTGGGTCATTTGGTAAATGGGTTTCTTCCATTGAAGTTGAATTTGATTGTTGTGGGGTTTCAATTGACATTGAAATTTGTGGGGTTGATTGAGATAAGTGTATGATTAGGGAGAGTTTGATGTGGTGCAACCGTGCAAGAGTTTAGAAGGTAGAGGGTGAGTGAAGCAACGAGGATTGGAGAGCATCACAGAATACACATTACGAAGCCCAAACGAAGGAACAAGATTTCAAGAGGTCTACTTAATTCTTATACTAGGTTTGTTTTTTTTTTTTTTTTTTTTTTTTAAATAGAAAAATGAGAAATGTGATTAATTAAGGACAGTGTCTATCAATACATAAGGTATCTTCTTGTTTGGAGCGTGATTTTCCCAAACCTTTTCAATTCCAAAAGGAATTAGCCTAGATTATGAGTTACACTATTTACTTCCCGCTTTATAAAATCAAGGTCAGAATAGTAAATAGCAGCCTTCGTCAATCTCTTGGTGATGACTTGACAATCAGATTCGATAATGATCTTCAAGCCATGTCTACGGGCAAGCTAGGTAGGTTGCAAAGAGAATATATTGTTGAACTAACGGGGCGTTTGACATGTGGGAATGAGAATTTGGGGAATTATAAGTGGGATTTTGTTGTTGGGAATTCATAAAAGGGAATAAAAGTCCATAGTTTGGTAGTTGCTTGGGATATGTTGATGTTTACTAAGAAATTACATCAATGCCCTTGCTCATATTTTTCCCTTCCTTTTCAACTTTCTCATTAATGGCAATTTGGTCTTTTCATACCCTTCTCAATTCCCTTCCCCTATTATGAGCACCCCCTAGGTAATAAGAATGTGGGAATTCATTGGGATTTTATTTCCCATTCCCTTAAACACAAACAAGGGAATTAGTCATGTTGGTACATATATTCCCATTCCCACCTTCTTAATCCCACTTACCAAACACCCCCTAAGTACAAATTATTCTACATCTTTATAAAATTTAATAAAATCGTATAATTAGACGGATTAAGCTAGTAATTCTATATACAAAATATTAAAAATAAAAAAATAAAAAAAAATCATCTTTAACATGGAGTAAGCCATTATTGAAAACATGTGCATCTCTTGTCAGATTTCAACAATTGGAGTATCAAACATTTTAACTGAGAAGCAAATCAAGCATCAGATTGGATACAGGATATTTAATAGTAAATTCCGTGGTAATCAATTATTGTAATATTTCAAGTTTAGCTTCTAATTTCTATACTTCAAACCAACATGTTAGAAATTCTCTTTGTGAGGAGGATCTCTTAATGTTTTTTCTTCTTACCTTAAAAAAAAAAAAAAAAAAAAAAAAAAAATTGGGGTGTAATTTGGCAAATTCCCTTCAGTAAAACAATAATACGACAGAGGATCGAGCGGAAATGCATACCATATTTGCACTCTCCATAATGGCATAAACCCTTCAATTCCCCATAAACCCTCTTTTTTCTTCTTCTCCAACAGAGGCGAGTGAAAATGATACATTTTCTTGCTCGAAGAAGATCAAATTCACAATCTCGAATCTTCCATCAAACACCCAATCTAAGCTCTTTGCTCTTCTCTTCCAAATCAAACCCCCAAAACACCCACAATTTCCCGCCAAATCACCACAAATCAAGGCAATCAAGCATCCAAGATTCGACATCATGTATTGGGAATTCAATTCATTTTTTAAATTATTCTGGGTATTCACTAAATTTGCTTAAAAATGCGAAATTATCAAATGGGAATAATCAGGGTTTGATTTTTTCAAGTGGGGTTCGATGTTTTAGTTCTCAAGTTGCAGACCCAGCAACTTCTGATGGATTAACTGTGGAAAGAATTGTTGCTAGTCGATGGCCAATACTTGATGAAGATGAAGGTGATTGGAAGAGTCATGCTTCTGCTGTAGCGCAGTCTATTCATCTTATTAAAAAGCGATTGCAGGTAATTTATATGCTCAAAAATTCATGTACATTACATTATTGTATTTATGTGTTTATATGTTACTTTTATTATTCTCCTAGATTTATTTTGGTGGGAGGAAGGTGAGTTGTTTGAATTTGTGATTTTGTAACAAGTTTTGATAAAAATGAGGTGTATAAAAAGCCATAAAGGGCAATTATGTAGACGGGATTCGATCAAAGGTCTTGGGTATTATCTTCCAAGTCTTTACTGACTAAGCTAGTTGACATATGAAGATTAATGAGGAATGATGATAAAAATCCTATGCCGAGTCCTTAACCTCGATGTTACTTTTAATTTGCTAATTTAAAGATTTTTGTTTGAGCTTGTAAATATGAGAAACATATGCAATAGTTGTATACTTGAATTGCACTATCACCTAGGTCATTATAAGTTGTATTATCTAATGTCATATGTGATGTTGATGTTGGTAGTGGAAAAAGTTGCTGGTGCGCTTGGACATGTTATCAGCTGAGCTGGATAAACCGAATCTATGGGATGATCCTGTTCATGCTGGAAAGATTAGTCGTGAGCATGGTTCTCTCATGGGAAAAGTGAACGAGGTAATGGAGTTTGAGCAGGAGTTGATTGAGCACATTGATATGCTGAAGCTTGCTCGAGAAGAGAATGATTCAGAGTTGGAATCGGTGCGCTTCACTTCTTCTAGGCATGTTCTCATATCTTTTAATAAGCAGTCAAGACTGTAGAAAATGTGGTTATATCCAGTGAGCTTAGTTTGCTAATTTGCCAGTTGACTGTACCGTGTCTTGACCTTGTGGATGTATAATATGTTAATCACTTCTATTTTCAATGTTTTGATATTTGAGAATGTTTAGTATGCTTCATACCTCAGTGATTCAATTCAGAATTCATTTATTGTTGAACTTGGGTCACTGCAGGTTTTATTCTCTGTTGTTGGCAAAAGTATATTAAATCACTATGGGCTTTGAGTTTGGATTTTTACATATAGTAATTCATGATCTGAATTGCTGATGCTTGAAAATGTTGTCTTTCAAATTTCAATGCACGACTGCGAGTAAATGAGATACTGAAAATAGTTGCTTTTTGTTTATATGAAGGTCATTCATGATGGAAATGGGGTATTATTAATTATGAATTTATCACTATATATCTGCTGTACATTTTCATAGTAGCTTTGATACCTTCAAGAATCAAGATTATTGGATGATTAGTTTGCATGTTTTAATAAATCTGTGGAACCAAAATTCCCTAAATCATTTTGAGACTAAGGAATTGTTGTTGTGGAACAAAAACTGCACAATTTTTTCATGCTAATTTCTATCAATTTCTGCATTCTGTTGTTGGTGTCAGAGCTAATCAAGAGTTAAGTTCTCGAATGAGTTAATTTCTGCATCTGCTTTTTTAATAGGTTGTTTAGCAGTATTTTGCTTCTGGTAATCCTTTTATGAGATTACCAATGCCCTATGATGTTTACTTAATTAGCTTGTAGATTGCTGTAAACAAATCTTATGCTTTGCAAAGCAGGAACGAATGATTGTTAAAGTTACTGCTAAGTGTTAATTCTAGCTGTTCTCTGTCTGCCTGTAGAACATTCACTATACGTGTAACGGCTTTCATTCTTTATCAGCATAGAATTCCTACTTAATTACCTATGTTTAGAGTGTCATTTCGTTGGAGAGCAGTGCCAATGCTCTTAAATGTCTTTAGTAAACTATAGGTGACAATTTGACATATGAATGGCTCTTGTTGGCTTAGTTAGGTGTCGGTGTGTGTTTTTAAAAAATATTCTTTGTCACAAAAACTCTCCAGTTTCTAGTTAGATTAGCATGACATGTGCTCAAAAAATTCAACCAGCTTGGTTGTTGAGGTCATCTAATATAAATACATAACAGTGTGTAATTGATTGAATCAGAATGCAGCTTGTCTTTTATATGTAATTACCCAGGTAGCCCTTTTCATTTAGCCTGGTCTGCATCTGAGACTTTATTTCAGCTTTTTTCTCTCTTGAACAAAGAAGTTAATTTGACAAGTGGCGAGTTGCTAAATTTACTTTGTGAAAACTTCTAGCTTCCCTATTGGCTGCCATTTAGATAATTTGTATAATGCGTTTAAAGCAGTAGCCAGTAGTTATCTTGTTAGCTCTCTCTAATACCTTTTATTTCATATGGACACAGTTTTAAACTTTTAATAATTTTATATAAGTTTGGTTGCTTGGGATTTTAAATTAGCAATCTCTTTTATTTATTTTGTATTTGCCTGCAGGAAACAATGAATGCTTTACTTAAAATGAGAAGAGATTCAAAGGAAAGAGAACTTGATGCTATGTTATCTGGTGAACATGATTCCGCTTCTTGTTACATTGAGGTTAGTATCTTCTAGATGGCTTCCTGATGTAGACTTTGCATTGTGGGCATTGTCCAAAATAAATTACCTGGCTGCACTTCAGACAGTCATTTTTATCATAATTGATGTCTCAGAAGAGTAAATGTGCCTTTTTGTATGCGATTACTTCTGCATTGTCTAATCCTTTTTTTTTTTTTTTAAATATATATATGTATACGTGATAGCTGTGGCTGCTGTACATTATCTGGAGTTATGGACAGTATACTGGAAAGTCCATCTGTGTTCTGCTTATGAATTTTCATAAGATAAAAATATTTGGCTAGTGGTAAAGGAGGAATTTAAGCTGTTAACGCAAACAGGAATATATGCCTTTTTGAAAATTGCCAATGCTCCACCTTATACTAGTACATCTGTTTCCACCTCTGGCAAAAATGCTCTACCTTAGACTAGTACATCTGATTCAGAGAATCAGGACTTGTCAAATATAAATTTTGGAACTATTTTCTCTGAATGATCCGCAAGTATATTACTTATAATCTCTTGACATTACATCTGTGTATCACTTCCTGTAGTTCTGACTAGAATTGTTCGCTCTATTGAACTCTTGTTTGCCTGACAGTAAAAAGTTAGACTAAAACTTGGGAAGTCTTTCACCCACTCCCCTCTTACTCATTCAGTATTCACATGTGAATTGGGAAACAATATTATATATATATATATATATATATATATATATATATATATATATATATATATATATAATCTTTTGGAGGCTGGGGTCTGCATAATTGTTTTACTTCCTTTTCCAAGTAACGTTCTCTGGGAATCAAATTCCTTTGTAAATATAAAGTGTACTTAGCATCTACGAGACTACGATTAATCCCTGCTCTAGAAGAAGGGTTCTTGCTGTTCTATAGCTTCACAAGCAACAAACATTCTAAATTTTTATTTATAGTTTACCTTGAATGTAATTCCTTTTTTCAATTTACAATTTTAACTTGAAGATAATTCTATTTGAAAGTAGCAGATTGAATCCAGATATTAGACAAGAACCTTACACATTGCTATAAAGAGGCCTAGATTTAGATCCACGTGCAAGACTGACTGTATTATTAGCATATGTGCCTATGTAGTGTAGCAGAGACAGGAGTGCGGTTTCACCTGGAAAAAAACCTCAAATATACTGGAGATATCAGTGTGATTGTAACTATTGCACAATTACAATTCACAAAAGTTTGAAATTGAATCATACTAGTAGTATCTATCTGCTTCTATATATCACTTTCTTCTAACTATATCTTTCTCAATGTATTATGAAATTTTGGCTCACATTTTGCTTATCTCTGAGAAGGAGAATAAAAAGATTGCATATCATTGATTGCTTTAGGTTCAAGCTGGAGCCGGTGGCACAGAGAGCAATGACTGGGCTTTTATGGTCATGGAAATGTACAAATCGTGGGCACAACGATGTGGATATCGTGTTAGTGTTCTGGAGGAAATGGCTGGTGAAATTGCAGGGATCAAGGTTATGCCTTTCATTTATTTTACCTTTACTATCCACTATTCATTGGGCTAAAGTGACGGGCAACCTTGGTTATGATATAGTGATATACTAAATGGAATTACATTGTGTGATTAGGGAATAGAAGGGATCAAGCTTATCCACCTATTGATGTATATGGGCTGCATTTTTATTCGTTCCAGAAATCTTTCTTTGATAGTGATTGCCTTGGTCTCAATAACGCAATTAAATCACAAAAGAGGAGAAGTAGCTCTCTTCATATTATCATTGATGATATTTATAATGTTTGTAGATCTTTGGACTGTGTCTCCTTTAATTCTGTTCGTTGGGAGGGAAATAATGTTGCCCATGAATTAGCTCATATGATCCCTTGGGCTATAGGTCAAGTCTTTGGTTGACGGATTTTCCGGGTTGCATTGTACCTCTATTGAACTTTGATATCTCTATGAATTAATGACTGTAGCCCTGTTTAGGTTTTCTTCAAAAAAAAATATATATAATAATCTTTCATTGATTATATCTGATAATATTTAAATTTTTTTATTTTTCTTGGATTTCAGCGGGCAACAATCAAAGTAGATGGTGAATATGCATATGGATATGCAAAAGCAGAAGTTGGGGTACACAGATTGGTTCGTATTTCTCCATTTGATAGTGCAAAACGCAGACATACGTCATTTGCTGCTGTAGCAGTTATTCCAATCCTCAAAGATGTATCCACACGTGTGGAAATTAAAGAATCAGATCTCCGCATTGATCGATATCGTGCTGGTGGAGCTGGTGGCCAGTCGGTCAACACTACAGACAGTGCTGTGAGGATAACTCATATCCCTACAGGGATTGTCGCTACTTGTCAAAATGAAAGGTTTACATGCTCATCTTTGGTTATAGTTTCATAGACTTTGATGCATAGACAAAGAACTACTTATCTTTTTCCTATTATCATGCCAAGTTAATATCCTTCGTGACATATATACTGTTAAAGTTACCATTAAATTGACGGTCTTACAATAAAATCAATGTGAGCCTGCCTTATACGAAGTACAAGATTTATTGTAAAGGGAGTTGTTGGATGAGACAAACTGATCCTGGAAGAAAATAAAAACGAGGAATTCAAACCAGTAAAGGCAGTATCAATTTTCCTCACCATGTCTTATTATAGAATCCCGTGTCTTTCTATAGCCATCTTCTTCACCTAAAAGTTTCACGGTGCTGTATTTCTCTCGCTGATTTTCATATTGTTTTATTTGTCAACAACACAAGGTCACAGCATCAAAACAAGGCTTCAGCGATGGCAGTTCTCCAATCTCGTGTAGACCAGCTTGAGATAGCTCGCCAAGCTCAAATGAATGCTCAGCATACCGAATCACTTACAGAAATCAGTTGGGGCGCTCAGATAAGATCTTATGTTCTTCATGTAAGGATATTCATATTTCAGCATACCAAAACCGATGAATAAATAAATAACATTCCCTAACCAAAACCTGAGATGCTAAAAGAAACTATCTAATGGATATTGAGCAAAGTTAAATGATTCTTTTACTGTCTTGTGCAGCCTTACCGAATGGTGAAGGATCATCGTACAGATTTTGAGGTCTCAGATCCTGATTCTGTGCTGGAAGGTGACCTTGAAGGTTTCATACTCAGCTATCTGTCTGCGTCTTTAGATAAAGCTGGAGATAATTTGTGACATTAAAAACTGATATAACTCGAAAGTTTAGACTTCCTCTCAAAGGATGATCATTTATGGAAATATGGGAGCACAATTTCCAGTAGTGTTACCGTTGTATGTGCTTACCTGTTTTACCAACGAACCTAAGAAATAAATGTACTCTTTTACATGATAGATTCCTATTATAGTGAATCCTGCTGTAGTTTTATTTAATCTGCTCAAATTATTCATTGACAAATGAAATTTGCACCAAGAATTCTTGGTGTTGGACAAAATTTATTTCTGTAATGATACAAGTAGTTGATTTGTAAAGGTTTATTGAAATCCAGTTTATGAAGAAAATCTGATGTTACTATGCTATAAATACTAGTAATAAAAATGCCTATATTCTTACTACCAACAAAAAAACAAAACATATCCTTATCTAGGGCATTCATCATACAATCTGTTATGGGTTAATTGTTATCCCAATTAACAAAATTTTGGTACCTAGGTTGAGAATAATAACCATTTGTATATTCAACCTGATTTAACAGGTACCCATTTCGTCGTGAACATCCAACACCACAGGATGAAGCCTTATCCACAGAACTCAAAGTTAGGTCACATTGCATCATTTTGATTGATGTCATAACGAATCTCCGCAAAACTAGAAGGTGGTGGGTGAGGATCATTCGGCACATAGTGATTGCATATTGCATCATTTAGATTGATGTCATAACGATTCTCCGCAAAACTTGAAGGTGGTGGTTGAGGACTAAGTCAAGGATCATTCGGGACATAGTGATTGCACATTGCATCATTTTGATTGATGTTATAACTAAAGTTGTAATTCAACTTTGATTAATTACTCTATAATAAATACATATTGTCATTAGACTTATATTCATAGGTAGAGATGGACAGCGTGCCGCGTCGGGCCGTACCTGGTGGTGGCTACAAATCAAAATATATATACGGGGTGGTTCCGCTGAAAACAGGGCTTATGCTGAAAACAAGGCTTATGCCGAAAACAACAAATCTCAACCATTCATTAGTAGCATAAAAGATCAGACGGCTTAAAAGCTCTAAGACCTTTCCAACCTTACATATAACCAATTCAACCTTTTAAAGGGTACTACATACTAAAATAAGGTAACTTTATCTAAATTGACGATATTGAAATAGAGTCACTATATATAAAAATAACGTAACTATATTAATTTTGACGATATTTACACAAAGGTCATTATATACAAAAATAAGGTAACTATATCAAATTTGACAACATTAATATAAAGGTCACTATATAAAAAAATAAGGTAACTATATCAAATTTGAGTTTTTAAATTCATTTACATAAATGTCATTATGTACAGAAATAAGGTATCTATATCGACATTGAGTTTTTGACTCCATTTACATAAAGGTCACTATGTACAAAAATAAGGTAATTATATCGACTTTGAGTTTTGGCTCCATTTACATAAAGGTCACTATGTATAGAAATAAGAAAACTATATCGACTTCGAGGTTATGACTCCATTTACATAAAAATCACTATGTATAGAAATAAGGTAACTATATCGACTTTGAGTTTTTAACTCCATTTACATAAAGGTCACGATATACAAAAATAAAGGTTACTACATAAAAATAAGGTAACTACATCAATATTACAATATTTACAATATAACAAAAGAAGTAAAAATGAATGCATGTCACTAGTATTATATTTAAATATACTATATAACAATGTTATTAATAAAAACATAACTTCATATGTTTTTAAAGACTATTTTTACATTACATATGTACATCACCATCTATATCACCATCTATGATTGCAGACTCTTGCCTATGAATTACAATGTTCTTATCCTTGTTTGTCTTCACTTTTTTCACTTTACGGCCTTCATTTTCATCCAATTTTCTCTTCATAGCTGACAAAACAATAGCATGTGAAGAAGAAGCCTCATTCCCCTTATTTCCTTCCATGATAGCAGACAAAGCTATAGCAGGTTGAGCATCCTTTGCATTCCCATCCATTGTTTCATTTGTATTCTCAACAATAGAAGGTTTCTTTTTCTTAGTGATACTTTTCGTTTTCAATCCTTTTACAAAACCATTCTATAGTATTGACAAATGCCAATATACTACTGCTCCCCAAGAATTATTAGTATGAAACATTAGAAAAAAGAAACTAAAAAGCTCAAGCCATCAAATTGGATGACTGATGCAACTATGTAAGGAAAAACAGCTTAATTTCTTTGACAAACTATTGAATAAATTTTAAAAAGCACAATTTTCTTTGAAAATTTTAACTGTACCTAGAAATTCTATTAGATAACCCATAAGCTCACGCCAACAACGCATTCGTTCACAACCCGGAAACACAAGCAACATAATTCCAGATAACATTAGTCCTCCTATAATTAATCCCAATATTTATACATATCCATAGAAATTATTAGTTTCCGGCCTAAACCAGACAAAAATTACATACAATCAAGAACAAAATCTTATAAATTCAACTAATTAAATCAAAAATCATTTTACCAAAGGTGAAACACAACAATTAGAGCAGAGTTTCGAGCAAAAAATTACACTTAAAAACCCAATTAACTAAAATAAAGCAGGATTAAACAAAATTCGTTCAAAACTACTCCTACCAAACTCAAAAATTCAAATCAAATTGAAAGAATCAATAAAAAAAACTTGCAAAATTACAAAATTAAACAAAAATCATAAACAAAAATACAATGGACATATTAAATTTCCAACTGAATATACAAAAAAATGCAAATGAAATTCAGGTAAACAAAATGACAGAAACCTTAGTAGAACCTAAGTACCTCAAATCAAGCAAAAATAGCAAAATTAACACAAATAACTTACTTGATAATAGATTGTAGAGCTGAGAAATCGCTGAAAATCAAAGTAATTGAAGCCAGATTTGAAAAAGTAGCATGGTAGAAGAATTGGAAAAGTAAGAGAGAGAAAGTTGGAGAGAGAAAGTTGAGGAAATCAGAAAAGAAAGAAGTCCACACTATATATATATATATATATATATATATATATATATATATATATATATATATATATATATATATATATATATTTATTTATTTATTTATTTATTTATTTATTCATTATTGTTCTTTTTGTTATTCTTATTTTTATTATTATAGTTCTTCATTATTGTTTATGTTACTAGATATAAGCCCCATGCACGGTTCTAGTAAACATTTTTATTAATTTAAGATTTTTTATATGAAGATTAGTCATTAGATAATTGGATAAAATTCCTAATATCATAAGATTATTTTTTTTTTATATAATTTTTACATTAAAGTTATCTTTTGTAGGTTTATTTATCTTATGTGGCGCTTGAATTTAAAATTCCAAACCTTATTCTTTAATTTTTCTTAGGTGACAATTTAATTTTTTAATAAAAAATAAATGACAAATCATTTTATTTATTGGTTAAAATAAGTGCTTTGCAAATGCGTTTTTTTATATAATGGTTCTCTTTCAAAATGTTAGTCTCATCTAGGATATTTTAACTATTAAAAAAATTAGGGGAATCTTCTAATTAAATTTCTCTCTATGTATAAGGAAAAATATAGTGATATGAGATTTAGTTTTATTCGTTTCAATGAGTACATTATTAATATCTAATTTTTATAATATTTGATATGGAGAGATTAAAGATATTTACGATGAAAAATTTACATCCATATATGTAAAAAAGATATTTATTAGTTTTTAAAATAATTTAGAGTTTAATTGTTCATTATTCGTTATTTTTACCTAGATGACAAAATTCTTAAATCTTATTCGTCACTTTTTCTTAGGTGGCGAGTGAATTTTTTAATTCTAAAATAAATTATTAATCTAAAATTTCATTGGTCAAAATAATACCTTTTCTTATGTGGCGTACCGAATGCTCCCGAAATTTTAAGGTATAGTTGCTTGTACCTAGCAAGGTACAGGAGCAAAAAATGCGAAAAGAACATGTAGCAGTTTTTTAAAGAACATAAAGCTGTTTTGTAAAGAACATATAACTATTTTGTAAAGAACATCCAATTTTATGTTTTTTTATACATCTAAAGAACATCCCTAATATTTATAAAGAACATGAAAATATTATGTAATGAACATGATTTATGTATATTCACCATAATTTTTTTTTTAAAAAAATCAAAGAACATTTCACAATAAGTAATTAACATTATATTACAAATAAAAGTACATTACACTGACAATTAAAGAACATAAACATATGTTCTTCTCACTCTTTTTTAATATAAATATGTTCTTTTTACTTTAGATATGTGTTCATTACTTTTTAATAGTATGTTCTTTTCATTACAACACTATGTTCTTTACATGTGTGTAATATGTTCTTTTCGCGAATCGGTTGTACGATGCAAGGTACCAACGCCTGTAGGAACCACACATTGCACGAAAAATGCCTTCTTTATTTATATATATTAGATTTTTATGGTTGTGTCGGGCCGTGCTTGGCGTGTCGTGCTGACGGGCCAAACTATCGTGCCGCGCTCGTACCGGATTTTCAAAATCGTGTTCACGGCACGGCACGACCCACGGTCCACTCCTCGGTTACCATGTCGTGCCGTGCCGTGCTGGGCCAATCTCGTGCCACCCCATGTCCGCCTGTATTCACAAGTTTTTTCTCTCCATTAAGCTTGATAATCTACATCTTTTTTAACCTGTGATTTTCATGAAAAATAGTTAAAGAAAGTTGTCATTAATAAAGTTTTAAAAAGAACCTGTATACCAACCGGGTGTAAATTATTCGAAACACCGCCATTGTCATGGTATATTTGATCACCGTTGCCGGAATTATTGTTAGGAAGATTATAATCACCATTATTGTAATCCATTCTTCTTCTACTATTTTTTTTTGTTCTCCAATTATTGAGTCTACCAGTGAACCCGTATACTTGTGGTAATTTAAATTTGTAAAAAGTGTTAGACATATATATATAGGGGAGTACATGTATGAGTTGACGTACAAGGAGAGTTTTAATGTTATTTGGACATTAATTAGGGTGAAGGTAGACTTTTAATTATTCTTGACTTCCTCTAAATTTATTTCCATATATATATTTTAAACTTTTTTAACCAAATTATTTTCTTCATTTTCTTAGTTGACACGGTTTGCCTTTTACCCAATTCACTCACTATACTTTGACTTGCTTTTATGATTTATAGATACGATAAAATTTAATTATTTGAGACCTTGTTATATTTTATTAATATTCACTTTTTATAATTTTACACTCTATTAATAATTGGAGTCACGAAAAAAAAAAAATTTGAAGTTATTAAGCGTTAAAAACATACGACATTGTTTCAAAAAAAAAAAAAAAAAAAAAAAAAAAAACGTTGATAAGCGTGTTAGAAAGGTGTCAACTAAAAAAATCAAAGAAAGTACATCTTTTTATAGTAAACTAGTGTGTAGCCCGGGCGTTGCACCGGTTGCTACTTTAATTAGACCTTGTGATTATCAGTTATATGCATTTATTTTCATGTTTATAACATAGTTTATGATTGGCTTAGATGGTTAAGTAACTATCTTTCTTATAAAAGGTTGGGTGTTTGAATCCCTTATCATCATCTTTGAGTGTTGTGTTTGAGTTTATTGGTGAGAAATTTACAATTTTAACAGAGTGTATTTGAGTTGAAATTACTTGTATCATGAACATGTTTGTGAAGTACGAATTTATTATCTAGATTAAGTTCAACAAGGGATTTCGTAATCATTATAGGTAGTAATGGCTTTGACTGAGACGTCATTGTAAGTGATGGAAGTTGCATATTTATGCCCTGCAAGCATAGTTGGCTACTTGCCGATTTGTGTTACTCTGGATAAGATGTGAGTTAGAAGTTTTTTAACTGTATCGGTTATTTAACACATTGATGAAGAATTTTGTTTGTTGTGTTTGAGTTTACTGGTGAGGAATTACAATCGTGAAGAAGGCGATGCATGTGTTGAATTGTAAAGGAATTTCAGGAGGATAGAAGTGGAGAATGAAGCTTTTGACTTTTGAAAGGAATGAAATTTGATAATTAGTTTGTTTAATTGTTTTTTCCTGACTTTGGGGAAAATGACCCATTCCTCTCTGATGGTCGAATTGCACACTCAGAGAAAGGAGAGCCTCGTTACTCACTTTGTGGTCATTGTGACTTTGTGAGCTCCAAAGTTGTTGTACATGCCTTTACTTGGTAACACCTAAAGACAACATTCAATGCAATTATATTTTTGTTTGTTATATGCATGCTTTTGATGTGGGTGATTGTTGTGAAATTGACGGTGTCTCGTTTAAATCTTTCTTGGTATAGGGAGATTGGTGGGATGATTTGGAGATGGATTGGAAGACTATTGTAGTGTGTGCTCATAAATCCATAATGTACCTTACTTAAATAACTGATGGGGAAGAAAGGAAGCTGGTTTTTCAGAAATTAAGAGTACCTTTGGCCTCTTTGCACATAGCTCTAAGGAGAAAATAACTGATGTAAGTACATCTTTCAGATTTCGTTATACATTGTATTTTTCAAACACAAAACTTTAGAGTTTAGACAAGTACATTGCATTTTTATTTTGGAAAAAGGATTACAATTAGTGTTCTTCCAATGTGAGTAATTGCACTATTGATTGTAATTACTTAACAAATGAAATATTTAGCGAGCAATTTTGTTGCTACCCTTGTGATATGAAATCTAAGGAACAAGGTAACAAGATCTATTTTCCTTACGAAATGAGGGTTTTAAAATCTGAAAAATGTTGAGAAGGATCCTTCGATTGAGGTGAGAGTATCACTATAGGAAAAGGCTTAGAAAGAAAAGAGTGCTTGTTTTATGAGAAGAAATGCAAAATAGAGAGAAGTAGCAAGGTTAACCCTAGGAATGGCTTAAAAAATGACTAAAAGATTCTTATTCTTGTAAGTACAAAGTGCAACATTTCATCTATATATGAGCATGCCACTGATGTGCTATGGTATATATGGGCTATGTCTCAAATGCCCAATTAAATAGACATTATTTGTATTATTTTTAGGAGACATTATTTGTACTTTGGAGGTTTATTTTTTATTCTTACCATTTCGATCTTTAATTTTATGGCTTTTAGGATCTACTATATATAGTTATCGACTGAAATTGAACATTGGAATTTGGTCATTTGCTATAAATGACATTAAGAAAACAAGATGTGTAAAATAGGATTTATTGATTTTGATAACATTTTTGTCGTAAATGACTTATTATATTTTGAATTGTAAACATTACTTGTATCCAAGATTAATAGTTTGGGCGGGCTTGGGTACACACTACAAACGCCGCCAAGTATGCACGTATGTAGAATTATAGAATACACAATACAGTATTTGTCATTAACAAAGAATCCCATGCAAACGTGAAATATACTTTTGCATACCGTTGAATAAATAATGAGGTTGATTTCACAAAATCACAAGTAAATATACTTGTTTATGCATCTCAGAAGATGATCATTAACAATTTATATATAAATTATGATGATTATAACTTTGAATGGAAATCCCAAAAATAATTTGTTTATCTTATTGAATAAATTAAAGAGTACAGATCAATAAAGAGAATATTTGTAAGGTTCATCTTAAAAACTTTCATTAAAATTTGGATTTTTTTTTACTTTTACCACTAAAAAATTATTTTTTACCACCAAATAAAAAATAAAAAAATTAAGTAATATAAGTGAGTTTTTTCATTATTGTTTTTACTTCCACAAGCCCTATAAAAAAACAACAATTTTTTTTAAAAATGCAAATACTACCTCTATTTCATATTTTTTAAAAATTTGGAATCTAATATATATATATTTGACATATATATAGAGGGGAGTTTTTTTCCCGAGTTTTTAGAGAGCCACGTAGGATTTATTTTTTTCAGTGCGGCATGTAGGATAATAAATTTTAGTAGTAACCACTTAAATACGAGATTATTAATTTTTTTTAATTAAATAATTTAAATAACATGTAAGCAAAATTGGCGAATGAGATTTTCCAGTTTAATTAATTAAATATAAAATATTATCTTTTGATATCAGTAATTTTATCTAAATATATAACAAATTTTAGCATAAATATATATATATATATATATATATATATATATATATATATATATATATATATATATAAATTATTTCAAAAAATTCAAACAAACCGTGCATCGCACGGGCTCGTATTTTATATATCTCATAAAAAATATCCAAAGTTGTATAAAATATAGAACGGGTGTATTTAATCAATGCATTCATATTTCAATCAAAAGAAAAATTAAAAACGACTATATCAACCTGTTAATTTGGTAAGGTTCCAACCCCATATCTGATTGAGGTGAGAATGAGCATTATCAAATATTAAAACTCCGAATCTAAGAGCTTTATGAAGTAAGCAAATTTAGTTATGAGAGGATTATAAAATTCAAACAGTACCGGAACACGTTAAATTTTATGGTTTTTAGGATTTAGCATAAATAGTTATAGACTGAAATTGAACATTAGAATTTGGTCATTTGCTATATTGCCCTTATTCCTAAGTAAAATGGCATTAAAAAGAAGACGCATAGGATAGGATTTATTGCTTTTGAAAACATTTTTGTCTGCAAATGACTTATATTGTGAAATGTAAACAATTGCTTATATATTCTAAATTATAGAATGGTTGGACTTATTAATATACTTCGTATACTAGATTGTAGAGTGATTGGACTTGTTAATATATAGGTTATTTGACATATTCACCATGGCTTAAATTGAAGTATTACGTCAAATAAGGCTTCAATATGATCTATCAGTGATTTTGCTTCAGTTTTTTTTCCCTTCCTTTGCTTTTGCAGTGAGGGATTCATTAATAAAATATTAGTTTCTCATTTTCTTTTAGCAAACAAGTTAGTCATTCCCTATTATTAATTATAGAAAATACTAACCAATTGCCATTCAAATGTGTAAGGGTAAGAGCGCTAGCGAAAACGTGTTTGGTCGAGAAATTGACAAAGTATAAACGGCAAGAAAAAGCTATTAAGAAAATAACCCACAACGAGCACTTTAAAAATAAATCAACTATATTAAATCAGAGTACAAATACCCTAATTTATTAGGGTGAGAAATATTACAATATAACTCTCACAAATAGGGAACTCTCTACAGTGTATTAAAAAGGAATAGTGGAATTATACAAGGAGAAAATATGTACCAGTATAAGGAAGTTAGTTTAGTAAGAAGGATTTTATGTAGTATGGCAATATATATGGAATGATCAAGTTTTTGTGGATAAACCAAAAATGAACCAAACTTCATTTTGATATTATCTTCTGGATCTCATAGAATATTTTATAGATATCTTGTTTACTACTCTATGACACTCTATATAAAGATGGTCGTTTCTAGGGTTTAAAGAGGCTCGGATGGAATAAGTCACAAAGACCCCATCTCCTCCCTACTATCAAACATGGTAGGTACATAGTATGGATTAAGCCGACAAAGCCCCGTATTATAAACAAATATCAAAGCCCTAACTCTTTGGAGAGAGGAATAAAGAGATAAATAAAAATAATCGTTTCCTATATTTTTATGGTTTACAATGATATTTTAGGAAGAATTCTAGATTTTGCTTGAATAATGCTACAAGTTAACTATCTCTTTGAAAATCAAGAGTATTGTTTTAAGTGTGTGCACTGACATATTCCTTAGAAGCATGAAGAATGCTTTTGGGCTTCTCAAAGATTTGGGCCACTTAATACCTAACAAAATGAATCCAATTTACATGCGTACAATAGACAACTATACAAATTGAAAAATCTTATGTACAAAATTGGGAATGCGCTCGCTGCCTCGCTCCCATTGCTAGTTATACAAAAATTATAAAGAAACATTATTAAATTTGATAAGTTTTTGCTTTAAAAATTAGTATGAGGAGAAGCATTAACACTAGATATGATCTTTGATCACGAGGTCACATTGAGGGCCTCACCCACACAATGCAAGTGGAGCCTATTGCTCCAGGTCTATGAACCTTTGACTCTGACCACTTGTTATTGTCCGTTTTAAGCTAGACCTGATCATGATTGGCCCGACCCAATTCCACCTAATTTTGAGCAGGCCTTGGGCAAGCATGCTACACATTTTTAGTTTTTTACTACCTGACTCAAAATGGCCCAAAAATCTGCTAGGCCCGGTCAAAAGTTATGAGTTTGGGCAAGTTTTTTTTTTGGCTCGAACCTTCAAACCTCGCCTGGCTTAACTTGATGGATTGATTTTAAGGCTTAAGCCTGACCCGACCAATAATCACCTCTACTTTAAGCCTAACCCGTATGAATTTGTTTTTAGGCATTAAAAGACTCTTTGTCATTAACCTATGGATCATTTTAGATTCTTTCGAAAATTGTCTTGTTCTGTAGCTAGCAAAGCTAGGGAATGCAATCACAACATCGATTATTAATCCGTGATCCTACAATAAAAAAAGAAAAATGATATACATAACCCTAAGGGCTATGTATATATAAGGAGTTACAAGAGGAAAGTATTAATGAAAATATATTCATTAATTACATTGACTTGCGTGTGATTTTGTCATGTATTTCTAAAATAACACCAAACTAAGGGCTGCATATGGCATTACCCAGAAAAAAATACATAATTTCTCACACTTCTTACTCGAATAGTTCAAAGATTTCCTTAGCTACAAACCTGATCTACCATAGCATATGCATGTAATTTAATGCATTGCATTATTGTTATATAAGTGTCCAAAAAAGAAAAAGGAGCAAGTAATCTAATACGGCCACAAAAGAAAAGTGGAGCAAGTAATAAAATTCGGAGAGAGCATTAATCATCTGAAGCCATTGATGTCCTCTTGATTGTAATTATAATAATCATAATGTTGATGACTTTGATATTCATGGCTTATTGATTGATGCTGATCTGCAATGCTATCCTCATAGTCGTAACTTGAATGATGAGACGAATCTCCCATGTACTGAAGACAACTCTCCACTGCATCCATTTATTGTAGACAGTCATATGGTAGCAGATAACCTAATGGATTTAATCCTACATCATTTGTCACAGGAATATCATTTGTACATGGATATGCTAACCCGGCTTGCTGAAAACATGCACTACTCTCTTGGCTCATAGATGATGAAATTGCGAATTGATGAAGATCGTTGTTGCTGGGTGAAAGATCTTGATGAGTTGGATAATTTGCACTTGTGGTATGGCTCGAAAAATCCATAACTAAATCAATTCAAGAAAGAAAATAATTAGAAGGCGATGATTTACTTTAGGTAAGATTGTTTTTTTTTTTTTTTGGTGTTTAGAGAGCCACAAGGGCAGGTGATGAGAATTAATCCCAAGATCTTCTGTGACCGGGAGGAAAGCTCTAACCACTTGAGCTATCCCTCACTGGTAAGATTGTGAACGTACTAAAACAAAAGCAAGAACGTAACAAACTTATTAAGATGTGTGAAATACGAACCTGTGGGATGATTTACAGGAATTTGTGGAGGAATTCCGGCAGGGAGATTATTGTAGCAAAACTGGTTCGAGAAGTGAATTTCGTTGAAGTATATACTAGCTTGATATGGGAAAGGTTGTTGGCTTATATGATACAACTTAGAGTCAGCTTGTATAATTTTGAAGTAATGCTTTTCCAAGATTCCAGGGGCAAATACAAGTTTATGTTTCCTACAAGAGGTGAAAATAATTAATTTGATAGATAGAAGAACGTGTTGACTTGAACTAATATGTAATCAGTGAGATGATAAATTAATTTGAGGTATGTATATATACCTTATCAAAGAAGCTTGTTTATCTGTGAAATCTTCAGATTGTTCCCAATTCGTATGCTTCCTAGGTTGTGGCTTGATTTCGCGGAAGAACAAGGGAGGATTTTCCAACTGCAATAGAGGGAGGAAACCGTAAAAGGTTAAACAATAAACTATGGTCCATCCAGAATAAATTGTCACAGTGCTAGATCAAACACTTTCAATTCCCCTGTTCCATATCATAAACCAAAACCAACTTGTCATTTATGCCTCTCTTTTTTTTTTTGTAACTCTTTGTCTACAGGTATAGGGCGCTCATGCGGAGACCATAATGATTATTGGGTGGATGAAATGACCATGGATGATATCCAATGTCCCTCTCCAAATATGGGGGGAAACCTTGGTCATCCTATATACCCTTAAATGGTGCAAAGGAAAAGGAATCACTCAAAGAATCATCATTTCTGATTGTGAATGAGCAATTAAGGGAATAAGTACGAGGAACAAAGTGTGGGATGAACTAACAAAGTGTTTAAAGAGCCACAAGGCCGGGATGAAAATCAATTCTAGGATCTTCTGGAATCAAGAAGGAAACACTCTAACCACTTGAGCTATCCCCTCACTCTCAACAAATGCATATGATGAATGCAGGGAATTCCTCCAAGAGCTAGACAGTGATGTGTTTCCTAAAACAAGAAAGTAGACTTCTTGAAAAGAAAGAAGGTGGAGCAGTACTTTCTTGCGTGAGTATGGTCTTATGGATTGATGATGGAAGACTTTGATGATATTTTCCTTACTTGAGAATGTAAATGATGGTCTTTAATTGTAACTTTGGTGGTTGTATGTTTATTTGTAAGTATCACAAAGATATGAAGAGTAATAATCTTTCTCAAATTAATATGAAATATTTGTATTCATTTAATATTTGTTTTCTCAGTTTAATTGCTTTTCTCGACCAAACAATAAGTCAAAATTTATTAATCTCTAATGAATAATTGAATACTGACATCAACTATAAATGGTAAACTTTCATAATTTTTTTGAAAAGAATGGTCTAGGTTACTTGGTAAGGGTTACTCGGTCAGGTGTTACCTGGTCGGTTAGGGATTATTCGGTTGGTTAGGGGTTTTATTCAGTTAGGGATTACTCGGTCAACTATAAATAAGCTAATATATATATACCTTTACTTAAGTGAAGCTTTATTAGAGGGATTTTTGCTCCTATTTTTTTATTTTATTTTTATTTTTGTGCAAAATCGTTAATTTATCTATAAAATTCATTATATATTTATTTATGGAAGACTATTCACCTATTTATGTATAGAGCCTTCTATATTTCAATTATTACGCCGTATTAATTTAAAAATCGAGCATAGATTTGACACTATCTAGTTAAATTTAAACATAAATCCTAGCTTAAGTATAGCTCTACCCTAATAAATCTCTTTAAAATAACTCATGAGTCATGACATCTAACAAAAATATATCCCAAAATTAATTACCAAAAGTAAAAAATTATCCCAAGCCTAAAACAAGAAAACCTTCTCAAGTGAGAAGTAAAAAATTGTAGGCAAACTAATGACTATATATTATGTCGAAGCAAAAAGAAAAAAAATTATTTACAATTGTTGAGTGATTGAAAACATTCAAGAGTGTCTGGTAGATGAGTTGAAAACTAACCATGACATCAAGAACTGCTTGACCTCCATCAACATCAAACGTAGCGTTAATGGCTGCAATGTTAGACCATTGAAACTCAATCTTGCTCTTCAAGTTGCCATTTAAAACTTCCCAAACTAATTGCCTTTTTTTGAAGTAGCACTTGGCTATTAATTCTCCTTCATGCCTTGAGACTCTCTGTAGATCACATAGTTTAATGTTATCACCTTATTGAGTATGCAATTTGTAGTATAATGGGCTGGTACAAGCATAGCACAAGTCATTGTATGTGATGCAAGTATTGGGAAAGCAATTCGCTATCTGATATTCAAAACACTTCATCAATAAGATGCATTTACCATAAATAATAATACTACCTCCGTTTTTATTTAGTTGACACGTTTTAACTTTAGCACTATAAGTGCATTGGCAAACGTGACTAAGAAACATGTCAACTAAAAAGAAACGGAGAAAGTATTTGGTTCAAGAAGTGCAAAACAATAATAATGTGAACCACATATAAGGAAATTACCATCCAAGTGCCAATATGGAGAGACATAGCAGGAAAATTAGCAGCCTTGAGCTTTTCCGAAGAATCAGGTAAATTATTATCTCTTGGAAGAGCATTACTTAGCAAATTCACCAATGATGGTGTCTTGGTCAGTTTCAACCCAAGTTTAGTTTCACGTTTAGCACCCTCTTCGCCAAGTTTCTACATACCAACAGCAACAAAATTCAGTGATAATAAATTTTGTTAGCACTACTATGGAACAAGGTACATCCATGGATTAGCTGACGACGTGTGTATGACTATTTGTACGAGTATATGACACACTACACACAGCCGCCAAGGGTACGCGTAAGCAGAATTATTATAGAATACATTTTTTGGCAATAACAAAGAATCCCATGCAGACGTGATCTTGAAAATCAAAATTGTATCAAAAGGTGATCAGATAATTAACAATTTATATACCTATAAATTGTGATCAAAACTTCGAATGTAATCCAAAAAAAAATCTGTTTATCTTATCGAAAATAGAAGGTGGTAATTTTCAAAAAAAAAAAATACAAGGTGGTAATTGCTAAAATGGACATAATAGAAGGTGGTAATTGTCAAAATTTCCATAAATAAATAAATAAAACTTTTATCAATGACCTCTTCTTAATAGCATAATATAATTGTGTTTTTCATTTTTTTTTAAATCTGCAAGCCCTACAAAAAAAACAACAAACAAAAATAAGATCTTTGTTAAAAATATAAGAAACAAAAATAACATCTTTGTTAAAAGAAAGAATAAAAAATAAAATTTTTTGCTCACAAATGCAAAAAAAAAAATCAATGCATTCGCATATAAAATCCAATATACTCCAGAATTATATTTTGAGATGGAGGGAGTATGGTCATAAGATAAAAAAAAAAACGCCAATACCCCAACACATCAGATCTGAGAATTACAAAATATTCAAACCACGAATCGGGGTTGAGAGGTTTTTATGAGGTATAAAACAGTACCGGAACATCGACAGAGGAATGGAGTTGAGAGTTGTCAGCAAAAAACTGTCCATCACCATTATTGTTGACAGTAACGTCATTGTTTTCGTTGCTGTGATAATAAGATCCTTGATTAGAAGAAGAAGAGTTATACCAATCATAATCAGCATAATTATAATTATAATTCATGATAAAAATATAGTGGAATTGAGAGTAAATATGGAATGGATTAGTGAATAAGTTTAAGGGTTTTAGCAGGAGGTCGAGAAATAGGGTCGTGAATCTAGGAGAAAACAAACTCGAGAATATAGGAGAAGACTAGAAGAGAGAGAAATGCATGATTTCTAAATAGCCAATGATTATTATTATGTAAATGCGAGGTTAGTTACGACTCTTCTTTGACTACGGTTGCTTCTTTTATAATCACTTCAGCGCCGCACGTTTTTTCTAATTATTTTTATTTGTTTTTCTTCAACAAATATTATACAAGCAATTAGGTTATAATGGAGGTAAAACAAAGGAAGGAGGTGAGGCAAATTTTGAGAGCACTCAACGTAAGTGCCACATAAGCAAATTAATATATTTAAGTAACAACCAATGAATGGAGATGGAATGTAAAATTGATTTTAAATAATGATTTATCTTAACATTCACGAATGAGAATTGAGAATGAATGTTTGGTTTATTATTATATAATTAATAATTAAATAATGTGTTACATACTGATCAAGTAATACCAACTGGTTGAATAATAAAACCCTAATAACCTCTTAATATTTTATTAATAAAACAAAATTATAATTTTTTTTTATAATTATATATAACAAATTAAAAATCTCAAAAAAAAAAAAAATCTCAATTCTCATTTGTTGATTTTTTAATTATGAAATTAATTATGAACCTTTTGTTTATCATATTATAGATTTTTTTAATGATTTTTATTTTTATTTTTATGTGACACTATTTTATTTTTGGAAAATTCTCACTGGTAATCACGAACTTCTATTTTTTCTCAGTGGTAAACTGTTAAACTTTTGTTTATCAATGGTAATCACGAAATAGTAATAATAAGTCAATGGTAAGATTAATGATAATGAAATATCAATAAACAACTAACCAGAGTTAATCTTGGTTAAATAACAATGGATTACATTAATACCTTTTAAATTATTTTTTAAAAAAGACAAAAAAAAAAAAAAAAAATTTAAATCCCTCCCCACCTACCCAGCCAACCCGCCTCCCCTTGCCGGCGCTTGAGACCCCCACCACCGACACCTCAATCCGGACAAACAGGAAAGCTAGCAGTCATCACCAATAAAACACTAGTATTATGCAATGCCAATCAAACACCTAAACTAATGATAAATCAGAGCACCAATGACCAATCCTCCCATGTTTGAATGTACAATTCAGTAATTGATTTATGTTTATAATTGTTTAAATACAATAGTCTCATATAAACTTAAAACTAAGAATATTATGAGATTTTCAATCTAATTGAACCCTAAAATATTCAACAACATTGCCCCCAAATCATCCCGCCAAACCCGACCCAAAACCCAATCCATCAACCCCATCTGGCGACCCACCCTCCCTATCCTCTCATCACCACCGAAATTACAAAAACCAAATCAACAACAACAACACGTCAGACGGCGGCAGATCGAGGAGGTCAATTTGATATGAATAACTTCTTCTAACACCCTGGAATTTGAGTATGAGTGAGGTTGCATTGTGTTACGAAGGGATAAATGTATAGATTTAAGTTGTTTTGAGGGAGTTTGTGGGGTTTTTATTCTGTATTTTGACGGAGAATGATAGGGAATGAGGGGAAAGAAGTGAGGCAGGGGCGGGGGATGCGGGGAAAAGAGGTGGGGGATGCGGAGAAGTGAAGTGGTAGTGACGGCGTGTTAGGAAGGGCGTCGGTAGGGGCTGGAGATGCTACAAAGGGAGGTGCAATAATGGAGGAGGAAAAAGAAAGGAAGTGTAAAGAGAAAGGAAGAAGAAAGAATTGGTTGGGAGTGATTCAAACTAGGGGTAGTTATGTCTTTTAGCAGTCAAATAGCTTAATCATGGTTAAGTAATTAACAAATTGTTTAACTTAAGTTACCATTGGCTTAGTATTATTATATCGTGATTACCATTGATAAACAAAAGTTTCAAAGTTCATCAATGAGACAAAATAAAAGTTCATGATTACCGGGTAGAATTTCCCTTTATTTTTTCTTATGTGACACTTTGAATGATCCTAACAAAAGTGTAACAATTATGTGTTTTATCTCTAACATAGAGGTGTTAATTCGGGTATCTAGGTCGGGTATATTTCAAAGTTCAGTCAAGTTTTTTTTTTGTCTACGTGTTAAAATTTGACTCAGGTATTTTTCAAGTTGATCGAGTTAATTTTTGACAACCCATGCCGAGGTAACAAAGGTGTTACATACTAGATGTTACTTTCTAATAATTAGCACTATCCTGACAATGATTATAATTCCGATTGCTAAAGAAAAAACTTGAAGAGCCAGTCAAGAATTCAGCTTTTTGAAAATTCCTTGTCAATTGAATTTAATGATTAAAATGCTAAGAGCTTAATGATAGGAATTTAGAATAGAAATTACGAAAGTGATGAAACCTGAAAGTGACGCAAATTATATGAAGAAAGCCACGAGTATCGGAAAGTTTTGGCCCACGTATGTGACGGCTGATTTTGACTAACACTTTGCTTCTCTTACTCACTAGCCGTCATCCTCCAAGCCTCCAACCTAAGATTGTAAGATATACCGATTAAAATACCCCTCTAAAGCGATCGCTTAGCTTGTATCAATTAAAAATATAAAAGATCGACCATTGTTTGAGGTCTCGAGGTTGCAAGATCAAATCTCATTATAAATACTATAAAACGATTGCTTGGATCGCATCAATTAAAATATTGACTAATGTTTGATATTGTGAGATCAAATTAGAAACACTTTAGGATCAGGATTTATGGCTTATATACACCTCAAAAATAGACTATAATTATATAAAAAGAAATAAAATAATTACAGAAATACCAAGAAGTTGAGATTAGTAAGGATTTGTTTTTCTCATCTAAAAATACCAGCAATTTTAATTTTAATGTAAAAAGTACTTAAGGATTTTTAGTGTATTAATGAGATTTGAAAGATAAAATTCACTAAAAATAATATATTATTATTGTGAAAATAATATAGTGCACCCGGATGCACCATGCGCATGGTGCACCCGGAAAGAACATTAGACATATTTTAAAGAACATAGGCAAAAAAAAAGAACCTGTTTGTCTTTGAAAAAGATCATACCAGTGTTTGACAAAAGAACATGTTTGTGTTTGACAAAAGAACATGTTTGTGTTTGACAAGAACATAACATTACAAAGAACATAAAGTCTTTACAAAAAGAACATGTTATTTTCCATGGTTATTTGGGTGGTTAAACGTGTTTGAAAAAAAAACATTATATTTGACAAAAAAGAACATGTTCGTGTTTGACAAAGATATAGGTGATCATTGGGTAGACCGGGCCAAGGTTAAAAAATCAGCTCACTTCTCGAGTCGGGCCAAGTTTTGGGCTGAAGTTTTTGTGCCCAAACCTACCCAAAATGGTCCGGCCGTGCGGGCTTTTCGTGTTGAGTATAAAAAATCAACTAAAATGCATAATAACGCAATCCCAAACCCGCCCAAAATTTTAAATTTACGGGCCGGGTCCGACCAAATTTGGGGGTGAAATTTTTTTGCCCAAAACCCGTCCAAAATCAAGCCGGGTCGGTCTAACTTTGATCATCTCTAACCAAATAACATAAAGTCTTTACAAAAAGAACATGATAATACAGTAAAGAACATGTTCTTTTTTCTAGTTACTCGGGTGATTTTTTTTTTTTAATGTACATACATTAAAGAACATATTGTATAATATAAAGAACATATAGTTCAAACTCAAAGAACATATTAATCAAATTTAAAGAACATATTATGCTCACGTTCTTTATAAATATCTATAATGTTTTTTTTTTTCGCCCATGTTCTTTTAAATATACCTAATGTTCTTTCCGGGTGCACCAACCATACATTATCAAAAAATATATATATTATCTTTTTTTTTCGTTTAAAATGATTTAAAGAAAGACAAAAAATCATAAAAATCAAGTGATCACAATGTATACACAAACTGTTAAATAAAAAAAAATATACGAAAGGA